TATATGGTAAGGCAGGTATTATTTCCCTCTATCCTATAGGTGATATGAGAGGAATGCACAGAAATTGTGACCAAAATAATAAGTAGCAGAGATGGAACTCAAATATGACTTTCACAAAGCTGTACTCTTCAGTTAACCTGGCTACCTGTAGTCAGGTATGAATGTCTTTTGTTTTTGCCCACCAACAATTCATGCCATCTTCTTTTGGAACTATTCCCGCCTTTGTCTGAGACCCAGGCCTTTTCCTGTTGAAGTGGTCTGATGGGAATATCAGGCAAAGTTTTCCCATTCCAAATCTCTGACCAAGGATTCCTCTTCATGCACTCTGACTTCGGGGTATAGAAAACATTGGGGCAAATCACTGCCAATGGCAGCAATCTGCTCTTTCAGGCAGTTGGCCATCACTTTTCCCTCTCCATGACCAATTCTATATCCATTCAACAGATTCTATGTTTGTTTAAATAACCAATAATCAAGTTGTATTACTCACAACCAAAGAATCTGCAAACTGAGCTCCTAGCAAAAGTACAGTCCATTTTAGCACCTGCTACTTTAATTTCTAATACAGAGGTTAGATAATATGACATATGATGTGTTTTTTAATTATCATTGTGTAGCAGAATGTTGGATTGGACAGTTCCTGTTTCAAAATTGACCACCAGCACCCAAAGTTGGGGACAAAGACAGAAGTACCATAACATTTGTAAATGAATCAACAGTAACGAAAAATGTCCCTCAGAGTTCACCATAAAATAATCAAACTGGCTTTATTAACCCTGTCTTTTAGTTTCTGTATTTGGATGTTTTGATGTCTCAGACCTTTGCTAGCCTTGGAAAGACCACTCCTCATAGGGTTCGCTAATTCATAGGCACAGCAAATGACTTACCTTAGTCATATCTTCCACTGAAAACCAAGCCAGAGCCCACACTCCAGCCACCTTCCATATCTGCCTTTCACACTCCTGGCCACTATGCCCTCTTCCTAATCAGCCCAGGTGCTTGACAACTGGAGACACACCCTGCACCTCAGAGCTTGACAAACCTTGGGACTTCTCCATGTGGCCCTATATTATTGGATCTGAAATGTTCCCCAAAGCCATGTGCAGTCTTGGTCCCCAATGTGTGGTGCAGTTGGGAAGTGGTGCAACCTTTTGTGGAGGGGGCTGGTGGAAAGAATTAGGTCACTGAGACTGTACCCTTAAAGGGGATTTTAGACCCTCAACCCCGTACTCTCTCTGCTCTGAGCCACCACAAACAGAGCATCTCTGCTCTAACACATGATTCCCACCATGTCCTGTAGCCTCAGCATAGACCCAGTGTAATGGGGCCAAAGGACCACAGCCTGAAACCCCTGAAACAGTGAGCCAAAACACACCATTCCTCTTTTAAGTTTATGTGTCTCAGATATTTTATCACAGCCATGCAAATCTAATACACCTGCATGGTGTGGCATGTCGCCTGATTCTAGGGATCTGCATGGTAAACTTCTTTCCTGACAGTCACATCTGTGTCTGTGTGTCTCATGAGACCTGTTGAAAACAAACCCCAGATACATTTAAGACACCAGCCTTGCTCCCCTGAACTCCCTGGCTTGTCTCTCTTTTAAAAGAGGAGAAAGAAAAAAGGATAGCCACGGTTTAGCCACAAGGAATAGCCTCAAGGTAGGTAGTGGTTTCCTCTATCCTCCCAAAGCCAAGCAGGGAGGTGAAGGTTCCTTGATCACCTCTTATAGTAACAATGGGGACATGTCCTGCAGTCTCTAGTTGGAGATCTCTGTCTTTATAGGCTTACAAACAGTACAAGAGAGAACTGAAAGGAAATGGACACTCCAGAGGGAGCTGGTAGAGCACTGTTTGGCATAGCCAGGGTGGAGCAGACACTGGAATTCACCTGGGGGTGAGCCATCTTTCCGGTACCCAACCAAGAGGGCTGCTTGCCAAGTGAGCAGACTTTCATAATGGAACTAACAAAGAATGAATTATCCTCCTCCAGAGCCAGGGAATTGGTCAGTGGTGAGGCCCCCAAAGAATTCAAGCAGTACCCCCAAGACAGCCAGCATTTGGACACCTGCCATAAGACATAGCTCTCATAACTGGCCAAGCAGTGTCAGCCTGAAAAGCAACAGCTGCTACAGAGAGGAATGTAAATGTGCCCAGCTAAGGCAAGGTTTGCCTTGGTGCTGGTGGTGGTGGTGGTGGTAGTTTGGGACTTATGGTGGCCTGGAAACTGGGAGGTGCTAATGACTAGGGAGGACACAAAAGAAGCTTTGGATTTTGTTTGTGTCCCTATCTGATTCACACAAATTTGTTAGGAAAAACTAAATGTACATATTTCTGTATTTATGTTGCACTCCAGTTAAAATTCTGGAAGGATTTTTAGAGAAATGGAACATCCAGAATATCTACTCTACCAAAACACAAGAGCCTTCCACAACTCAGTTCTTCATCCATGCCTTGTTGATTCTTGAGGCCCCTGATCTTTCTGCTTTTCCCTTTGTACTTCTTTCCTCCATTTTTTTTTCTGTACTGAAGATTAAACCCAGGGGGATTTTACCATTAAACTGTATCCATAGCCCTTTTCCAGTAGTTAGTTAGTTGTTAGTTTATTTGGAGACAGTGTCTTACTAAGTTGCTCAGGCTGGGTTGGACTACAACTTGTGACCGTCCTTCTGCTTCAGGCTCCCTCAGCACAGGTGCCCACCATTGCATGCGGCTCTCCCATTGTATATCTAATATCCCTTCAAATGCAAAACACAGTGATTTGCTTCCCCTAATCTTTGGGGTGGTTTTATCCCAGCTTTGGGGACATTCTTTCACTTACCAGTCCTCCTTAGCCCTTGCCTATGACTTGATGGGGGACTCGGCATACCTCTGGAGCTTTCTCTCTGTGAGCTCTCCCCATGCCCAGATGTGCACCCTGTATGTAAACTGCCTTGATGTCTCCACACTCCCATCTTGGTCCCCTCAACTCACAGAAACCTGCAGCTCTGCCTAGAGTAGGCACCCTGTCCTGTTTCCTGGATGCCTTCTATGAGCAGCACACTGGGTCGATCAGGGAGCTCAGCATCTCTGTTTCCCACTAGCGTGATCCCTGTCCTCTACTCTCTGGTGTCCAATGTCCAGAAACCATTGTTTCACATATTTTGTCTGACTTGGGCCAAGGATTTAGCTCAGCGGTTCTGGCACCTGCCTCAAAAGCACAAGATCCTGAGTTCAATCCCCAGAAACAAAAAAAAAATTTTTTTTTATTTGACTTTTTAGTTGTTTCTGATGAAAAGGTAAGTCTGATTTTTATTAGTCCATTGTGGCCAGAGCAGAAGTCCCTGGATTTAATTTTAACCAGTTTTAACCAGAAAATGATAGTATCTGCTTGAGATTCATTAGAGAACAGAAAAATGAAACTGGAAATAAGAAGGAAGCTATACTTTGGAAGAAAAAAAACTATTTACATTTGAGATCTACTAAGAACAAGCCAATGAGTAGACCAGTTATGTACACTTACGTTTTGCCAATGCTGTACTATTGACAGTTACAATAAGTTATCTATTTGCTCTATATAAGGAGTACCCATGTGGATAGGCTGCCAAATTCATTACCACCACCCATAGGAACTGACTTGCTTAGGAATCATGATGAGCTACTACTTTTCCAAACAGACATAAGCTTAGCAGCTCTTAAAGTATTCTGTCTCTAGCAACTGAGGAGTAACTTATCTGATCCTTCCCAAAACTTTCCGTATTTTCAGATTTAAGGAATGCTTACTGAGCACATACTATGTGCTGGGTACTGTCTAGGCCTTACATAAATCTTAATACCCAACTGAATCCTCACAGCATGACATGTTCTTATGTGTTACAAATGAGAAAGCCAATTTTATAGAGTTTGTGCTAAGAGGTGGCTTTCTTCTGAGAAATTGGAAGACAAAGACACAATACCACAAGCCCCCTGATTTGATGAATCAGGACTGATCACTGATGGAGAGATCAATAAAAAATGAATAATTATTAAAAATCAAAGTAGATATACTTAAATCTTTTACCTTGCCTTTAAACTTACAAATCTATTATCAATCATCAATCATTTGATTCAAAATTATATACTTTTTAAAAGTTCAAAACATGACTACAGATAAGAAGTCATCAAATTTTTTTAAAAATACTTTTTAAAACCATGTTGACTTTGTTGTGTGTGGTACTGAAGGGAATGAGCCCAAGGCTTTCACACTAAATTACATCCCCAACCCTTCTTTTTATTTTTTATTTTCAGACAGAATCTCCCTAAGCCACTGAGGTGCCCAGGCTGGCCTCTAACTTGCTATTCTCCTGCCTTAGCCTCCCAAAATGCTGGGATTTGATTTTAATGATTGTTGTTATTTAAATAATGATTGAATAACTAAGCTATTTTATAAGCTCACTGCATAGGGGAAATTTCCTATGCTTTTGGAGCATCTGAAAACATCTACAGAGATCAATCAAAGCTACACTTCAGGTCGATGTACTTCTCTGCATTTTCCCAACGTTCTGCATCCACCAAGCATCTCTTTCACATTTCCTCTGGAAGCCACTGAAGTTGGGATATTGTCTTCTTATGCACATCTCACTGCTGGGGATGAGAGAAGGATGAGAGCCCTTGACTTGGGACAGCTGTTCTGAATTACATGGAATGTCTGTCCCAGGAAAGATTTGCTAAGTCACCTACCTTTCTCTTCCCTTGCTAGACTTCACAAGCTTTGGTACAGAAATTGGCTTTCCTCCATGCAGTGCAGCCCCTGCCCATCTGTCACACATCTCCACACAGCAGTATGTTGCGTCAATCAATGTGTCTTAGCCAGGGTTGGAGGAGCACAGAGGGCTTGATTTGAGGAGGTCCCCAGGGGATCACTAGGAACAGATTCTACACAGCATGGACACACACTAGGAGACTGCATCTTTCCACCTGTTTATTTCTTCAGGCTTTGCACCTGTGTTAACTAGATGCTTCCACTCCATGGCAGTTACTTACCTTGAGAACAGAAGTTTAAGATGACTCCAGATAGGCTATCCAAAATCATAAAAGCAATACATGCAGAAGAGAAAATCCAGATCTAGTTCAAATTTAATGCCAGGAACCCAGGATTTGAGATCTAAAATCTGCTACTCTGTAGTGCAGTTCCACAGATAAATAAAATGTGATTTTTAAAAAATCAACAAGCCTGGGAAGAAAAGAGAATAGATAGGCATCACTTTGTTAAATTATGTTCATCCTATAATATGATATCACAGCTTAAGCTTAATGCACTTTTACATTCTTCATAATAACTCTTTTCATGAAGGGAGAACTCCAATGGCGTTGAACATGCTCATGTACACATAGGCAGGTTTGGATGTGTCCTGCATTCAATTACAGGAAAGGACCTTTCAGAATCTTTACTCAGCCTTCCCTGCTCCATCAGTGTCAAACACAGAGCCAAACAGACTCTTAGAAAGTTGGCTTTTGGAACACGGTTCCTCAGGAGTGCAGACAGACATAAGCAGCAAGGTTCCTGGATCCAAGAACTGCCCTTTTCCACCAACGTCAAACATGTTTCACAGCTGACCTGCCAAGAATGTGGATCCTGCTTCAAAATACACACTTGGAGACAGCACAAAGAAGCCAAAAGAGGGAATCTCCATTTAGCCTGAATTCTAGTCTATCCACTACAGATGGACAGTGTGTATATGGACTGGCAAGGCGCCCAGGCCTTGGCTGCACTCTAAAAGTTCAGGATTACGTCACACGTAGATTGAAGAGATAAAGCAACTTCTCTAAATATGCCTTTGCTTTATCTGGGGATTTGTAAAGTACAGCTGATGGAGATTCTTCAGGGTCAACCCCTTCATGAGTGATTTGACAAGAACAGGTCCTGGGGCAACCACATACCCATACCAGAGTGCACTGGCACCCATGCTATACAAGTCTTTCTACTTATAGAATGTTTAAATTCCACTATATGGTGCTTTGCCTTTTCTCTGACTGTGTGGCCTCTGGTCTATAGGTCAGATGCAAGGACAGCGTAGCATAGGGAAAAAGCCCTGCACCAAGTGGTAGGAAATTGGGATTCAAGTCTCAGGCTTGCCATTGATTTTCTTTATGGCCTTGAAATTTCATTATGCCTAGTTTAACCTTAGTTTTCATGTCCTTGAAATGTAGAGTAGGATATAGAGTATGATATAGCTTTGAAACAGGAGTAGAGTAGGATATAGCTTTGAAACAGGAGTCCCATAGTTCTATGACAATTTTTAAGACATTCTATTATTTTTCCTGCCACCAAATATCCAAAAACACTTCCATCAGCAAAATGGTACAAAATGGATATCATTTGGCATTCTGCCATTAAGCTGGAGAGAAGCATTTGATGGATGCAGAACCAAATCTTTTGTTGCAGTTAGCAGGAAATAGTCTGGGCAGTAGTAGATGGGGGATGGAAGGCATAATCCACTCTCTCTGAGTTCTGTATTGCCTCTCCACTTTTAAACGAGCATGGCTTACAAAAATACTTCTAAGAGAAGTAAGCAGAAACACACACATAAATGTTAATGGTCCACCTTCATCTACACCTACTCTAAGTACCCAAGGATCTGTATTTGGGCCTCAATGTTCTTTGCTCCAACAAAGCCGTAGAACATTGCTTCAAAAAATGCATCTAATTCCCATTTCTGAGCTTTTCACATTAGACACATCTGCAGTGGTCTACCATTTCTTCCACAGGAAAAACCTCATACAGTAAACAGCATGCCTACTCAGGAAAATGCACCATATTGGAAATGGGGGAGATATATATATATATATATATCACTAGGCAAAATGTTCTTTATTCAAATTCAAAATCACAATGAAATGGTGTGGGAAAAAATCTTCACCTGCTCTTCCTCAAAGGTCTACTATCTCGAATCTGTAGAGAACTTAAAAAGATCAGACCTCCCAAAGTTAAAGACCCAATCCAAAAATGGGCATCTGAAATGAACAGACATTTCTCACACAAAGAAGTAGAAATAGCAAATAAATACATGAAAAAATGTTCAACATCACTGGTCATTTGAGAGATGCAAATGAAAACAATGCTGAGATTTCATCTCACTCCAGAAAGAATGGCTGCTATCATGAAATCAACCAATAACAAATGCTGGCGGGGCTGTGGGGAAAGAGGAACCCTGCTCCACTGCTGGTGGGAATGTAGACTGGTGCAACCACTGTGGAAATCAGTATGGAGATACCTCAAAGAACTAGGACTGGAAGTCCCATTTGACCCTGCTATTCCCCTGCTGGGGATCTTCCCCAAAGAATTAAAAGAATCATACCACAGTGATATATGTGCACCCATGTTCATAGCAGCACAGTTTGTGATAGCTAAAACTTGGAAACAGCCCAAATGCCCATCAACTGGTGACTGGATAAAGAAAATGTGGTTTTTTTATAAAATGGAGTACTACTCAGCCATAAAAAATGAGAAATTAGAGACATAGCCAAGTGGATGCACATTGTGGAGATACTCTTAAGTGAAATAAATAGGACACACATGTATAAATACTGAATGGTTTTTCTGGTGTGAGAAACTGAAAGTGTAAATTAGGACTAAATGTATAATAGGTAATGTGAAATAGGAAGAAAAGGGACAAAGGGGAAGGAAGTGGGAGGGCTAGGGGAAAGGATAGAAGGGAATGGGATTAATATGAGAAAATGGAAAAATAGGAACAAAATCTTTGTAAATAGGGAGGGCTGGAGGGGTTGAAGGGAGGGCTGGGCAAGGGTGAAAATATTTGGTGTTTTTTTAATTGCCATTCTGACATTAGAGAATGTGGAAGACTTTTATGATCAAGTAATCACAGAAATTTTTAGAAAGGTTTTTTGAAAATTTATCTCCAAAAATGGTTTAAGGCCCAGATAGTTTTATAAAGTGAATTATTTGAAATTATATGGAGAAAAATAAACCAGAATTGTCTAATAAGCCATTCTAGAGGATGGAACAAGAAAACAAAAGTCACATTTTTCTCTTGCTATAACTGAAGACTTGAGACTGGGTAACTTACAAAGAAAAGAGGCTTATTTAGCAAATGCTTTTGGAAGCTGGGAATGTCAATATGATGGTGCTAGGATGTGCTCAGTAACTGGGAGAGCCTTCTGCTGCATCTTAACATGAAGAAGCGCATCACCTGGTGAGACAGAACAAGGTGCTACCTCAAGTCCCTTTTTCTTTTCTTATAAAACCATTAATGCCATCATGGGGGAGTCCTACCCTCATCTAATCCTAATTACCTCTTGAAGACTCCACCTCCAAATAGCACTAACATATGAATTTAGGGTTTAAGTTTCCAACACAAGAACTTTTGGAGACATATTCAAACCACAGCAGAAGGGAAAAGGGAAAAGAATAACCTTATAATGGAGAGACCTGGCCAACACTACCTTTGCTAAAGAAACCAAATGCACATCACCATTGACAATGTCACACAAAGATCCTGTGCCCTGATAGGATGTGACGAGAAGGGCCCTTCACTTCTGTGGTCCTCTTTCCAAAAATGTATATTCTCCAACAAATTATGGGGAAAAAAACATTAATCAAATCCAGTTTGAAAGATTCTACAAGGTACCAGCCAATACCCTTCCAAACCTTTTGGTCCTTAAGAACAAGGAATGAGCCTGGGTTGTAGCTCAGAGATACAACACTTCCTTAGTATGCACAAGGCCTTGAGTTTGATCCCCAGCGCTGCAAGAAAATAACAAACAGGGAATGACTGAGAAACGATCACACCCCAAGAGAAACCAGGGGATACATAGAGACTAAGAACCACGTGGTCCCCTTAATCCTGGAATGGAAAAAAATTAATGAAAAAACTTGAAATCCAAACAAACTCTAATGATAATAGTAATATAGTCAGTTAATAGCAATATAGTTTGAACAAATGTACCACAGGAACATAAGAAATAAAGTATATAGAGAATTCTCTATAACATCACTATAACTTTTATACAAATCTAAAATTATCTTTAAAATTAAAAGTATTAATAAAAATTCAACGGAGAAATATGTATGATTATGTCAATAGACGTAAGAGTTGTAGGGCAAAAAACAAATAAAATGTATGGGCTGTGGCTTAAATGCTTGTGGAAATCTATGGGATGTGACTATGCTCTAGGAAATTCTTACCCAACATTTAAGAAAGAAGACAGTGGCACAAAACTTTACCTAGTGAGGGTAAAGATGATAAAAACAATCTTGAGGTCTCCCTGCTAAAAAAATGAAAACTTAGGAAAATTGGATCAAAATCAGGCTAAAATTTAGGAATCAAATTCCTAAGTACATCTAGGGAGTATTCTATTTTCTATTTCTTCCTCTGCACATTTTTGTCAAGACAAATTCTAAATTGTTTTATGAGAAGTGTAGGACTTATGGTACCCACATATCAAAACCAGACTCTTGCCTGAACTGCTTCTTTATGTGCCCAATTTAAGGACTACAGTCCTCATTTGCCCTGATCACCCCAAATGCACTGCTGCTACAATTCACTAAATGTGTTCTCTAGCCTGTCCCTCTCATGCACACGCTTGGAAGAAAAAGCTCTATAATACGACCCACTCTATCCTCTAAGGTAAAGCCAACTCATTTTCATCACAATCTTCAGTCACTGAGAATTACCTTGTCACTGGATGTCTGCCTGCAGCCCACATTTTGATTTAGCATGTGTAAGTAACTATTAAGAAAAAAAAGGGACTTTAAAATCAGGGAAAAAAGTTTGTTGGATGTCCTTTTCAGTAAATACTAGGTACATCCTTCTGAGTTACTTAATTCTGCAAACATCTGTGCCTTTCATTGTTACTGAGCTATTTTACTAATCAGCAAGTTGTGGAAACCTGACAGTAATGCAGATGATTCTGACGCCTAAGAATACAAAAGCACTGTTTACCTGAGATGCGGTGGATCACTGCCCAGTGGACATTGACCAGTTTTGTATCTGTTAGAAAATTTATATTAATCTTACTGATTACTTATATGTGTGTGTTCTTTGGATTATTTTTTGGACTGGTTTTAACATCTTACTGATTCTTTCATTAACCATCAACTAAAATCTCTGATACATTTAAATTTTATGTTTCCACAACAGGTGGGAATTTTTGCCTATCCAAGAAAAAGATGTTTGAACACAGTCCATCTTCCTCAGACCA